CATTGTCGCGCAGTATTGCATGTATCATTACTGATGTAAAAAACATAATTATTAATTTAAGAGATTTGCAATTGCTGGAAACATTGTTATAATATATAGTTGTTATTAAAATGATACAGCATCATCGAATAAGTTTTGATTAAAAAAGTGAAATACATATAAAGCATTAGCAGCTATTGAATGGAAGATTTAGAAAATCGATTGAAGAGAGAAAACTACTATTCGCAAATATTCTTAAAAATGGATAATCCATTTATGATGTTGACATAGATATTAATGATTATTTTTGATTAATCGCAAAACTTACTATCGATATTCCTTACATTTTTTAATTTCTATGACTTAGTAATATTATTTTACTTTCGGACAATTTGAGAGACGAAGATTTTTTTTTTATAATAGTACATGAAGTGAAATTTTAACGACAAAAATTTTTTATTTTTTACATTTTCAAATGTAAATAATATTGTTATCAAAACTTTCTACAGATGATAATTTTAATAACATACAAGTATCTTTAACAATGGTATCTCCTGATCGTATTTACGCAAAGGCAGTTTAATAATATTTGTATTGAAAATATGTTTATTAATGTAACTTCCGTTGTTGTCTTTTGATTTATTTTACGCTCACGCACCATAAACCTATGTGTCGCAATTATGAATATTAAATAATAATTATAATGTTAAATAATGTACTTTGCTGACTAATTAACTCCAAACTGAATCGCATATGGCGCGCATATCGCTGTAACTTAATCTTAAAACGTTTATTTATTTGAACGTCATTATAACTAGAACAACAACGACGATGATTATGCTGATGATTATAGCACTGTAAATGACGATGATAAAAGTAGTAATTACAACTTTATTGTTGCTTTTACTGTTATTAATTTTAATGTTTTTATTATTATTTTATTATTGTTATATTAGTATTATCATTTTATTATTATTATTTATTCGAGGTTTGTCCATCAGGTCTATCCTATGATCCATTCGAATTCATAAGGGGGGCATGTGGATAATACCCTGTGATAGAAAAATTCGCACTGTAGTTATCTCTTAGTTATCGCTGCTTAATGTTATTATTATTGTTATCATTATTGTTATTACATTATTTAACAAATTTGTATCTTACATTGCATACTATTTTTTCACGGAAAACTTAGTTTTTTTTTAATATAACTGATGAAATATTAGAGAAGTGCTTTTTTCAAATTGAGTATATTCATTCTCTCTCTGAAGTCAATTATAATACTTTTGTTACTTCAAATTATTTTTTGATTTAAAAAATATAACAAATTCTTCTATCGGCTTTCATATGTACATTTTCGATGTAAAATGTTTATAATTGTAAATATAAATGGAAAAATGTTAAAAGCTTTAAATATTATTTATTTAGTATAAATAATATCTATCGCGATTTGCTGATCAGTGGCTTGCAATTAATGTTATCCTGCCGCGAATATTTTTCAAAAAATTGAAATCTTTCTCATCTATGAGCAAATCTTGTTCGATTTATATCTTTCTTTTAATCTGGATCTAAGTAGATCTTTTAATGTGTAGATCTAGATAACGGCGGGTGCCTTCTACCAGTCTTTTTTCCTTCTCCATTCTAAGTATTTTAATTATTAAAAAATCATATTGAACCCTGCATATATTACTCTATTTTTCTCTTTTCTTCTTTTTCTATCTTTCTT